ACTGAGCAGCCTTTTTTGAGAGAGTCTAAAACTCACATCGTTTTTGCTACATAAAGATTTTTTTGTTTTTAAATACTATATCCTGGATGCCTTTAAATTTTTTTTATGAAATCACATGCTAGAGAAATCAGCATAATTTTACAAGACATTTATAAAAGTACAAGCTTCCCTGTGTCAGTGAAGCCACAAAAATGAAATTATGCCAATCCATGAGACATCATTGCTTTTACAGGATGCCTTTAAAAATAAATAAGGCGTTCAGTTAAGTCATGGCATGTGTGTCGTCTGAACAGACAATTTTTCCCAAATAAGACTAACTACTTTCTTTTATTTATTAAGAGTTATGAATATTGTCAATTAACAAAATCATTGGATGGGGGAAGCGTAAATTTTTAAAAAATTACTGACATACTTTTCTTCAGTATCTTATACTATTAGCATAAGCCTATCTTTTCTACGACAGCTGTCAACATTTGGGGTCAAGTTTATCTCCAGTGCAAATGATGTACATACAGCTGTAGTCATCACTTAAATCCTCAACATGATGATTAAGTAGAATTCAAGTGGAGATCCCCTGGATCAGGATGAATGTTGCCGTTGGTGAATATACCTTCAAGTTCTACCTCTACATGTCCTCCCATACCAAGATTAAAAGCCCATTAGACAGATATTGTTTTTACTATTGGAACACTCCTTTTCCTTATTAATGAATAAACAACTGTAGTTTTCACATTGACATCAGGCAAATCAACGTGTATACTCATTCTCAGTCATCAGAACAGTAAAAACTTCTTGTAAAAGCTAACTCAAGCGGAGGGCAAAACACTTGTACCCCCTCCTTCCATTATTTTTCCCAAAAGTGGAACAGCAGTATGCTCTGCTACTAAAAACTGAAAGCAACATTAAGTATAAAACCACCTTATAAATCCAAGCTGTTCATTTTCTTACCGCACACTTAATGAGCCACCTCTGAAGCATTTTGGATAATCTACAACAAGGAGCTGCTTAATTTCTCTCATGTCAATTAATATTCACAGCAGGCATATCACTTTAAAAAAAATCTTCCATGCAAGCCGAGTTTCATAAGAGCTATTTAGGGAGATCTTAATTGCTATCCACCTGCTAAAAAGGAGCGCAGGGATGGCAGAAATTAATTCAAGTCACCCCTCAAACTTGGCTACATTTTGAGAGTCCCAGAGTATACAGCACTAAAGCCTTCACTCTGAGCTGTCTTATCACCAGGGTATTTAAACACTGTACACCCAAAAGGTTCTCTATTCTGCTCCTCTTCCCTCCCCCCATGTGTGAGAGTACATTTTGAGAGGGTCTTCTCTTCCCTTTTCCTCTCAACCTTCTTATCATGGACTTATATTGGGGTGGGAGAAGGAAGGAAGGCACTACAACAATCTTTGGAACAATAAATGCTGTATCAGTGGGCAGAATGACAGACCTGAGTGCTGTCAGCACACAGCTGAGTCACAAAATCTCAGCCTGTCAAAATGGCTGCCATCTCCAATAATTCCCTCTTCTGTTATCCCTTCAGTCAAGTCTTAGTTACTTATAGTACATGGATATTTAATATTTTTTTTCCCGTAAGACATCATTTTATATATTAAAAGTATTATTTGGTTTATTTGCCATGGATACCCATTTTTAACCAAAGATCCCCCTGCTGAAGAAACAAGGTGCGAGTACTAACCTTGGGGTGAGTGAGTTTGCTTGGCTGTTTGTGTTTTTAATCTCTCTTTCAGGTTATTTCAGTTATTTCAGTTACTGGGTCAGTTGGGATTGTGTGTCTGGGGATTGTTTGAGCCTTTGTTCCCTGGATCATCCTTGATCAGCCTCAATCAGCCTTGTGATCACCCTCCCTCTGTAAAAACAACAAGGAGTCTGGTGGCACCTTAAAGACTAACAGATTTATTTGGGCATAAGCTTTCGTGGGTAAAAACCTCACTTCTTCAGAAGTGTGATTAACGAGGCGGTAGGGCTGACCGAGGAGAGAAGTCCTTAAAAGACAGAGGCTAAGCGACCACAAATAAGGGACCACAAAACAGGAGAGTTTGGGAGGGAGTCATAATATAATTGCTATGGTTAGGAAGCATCCGTGCCCACAAGGAATTCATTGACAGTATTCATATGGAGACTTCCAAGGCTGAGCAAGCTATCCAGCTACAGAGGACTGCTGTCACACCACCTGGGGGAGGAGGATATGGCTCTCTCATAGGGAGGACACTGGCTGCTGGTTACTTCTGGCAAAAGATGAATATAAACAAATAACAAATATGTAGGGACAAAATTAGAAAGGCCAAGGCACAAAACAAGATCAAACTAGCTAGAGACATAATGGGTAACAAGAAAACATTCTACAGATACATCAGAAGCAAGAGGAAGACCAAGGACAGGGTAGGCCCGTTACTCAATTAGAGGGGTGGGGGGAAAAGGAATAACAACAGAAAATGTGGAAATGGCAGAGGTGCTTAATGACTTCTTTGTTTGTCTGAGGTAGGATCAGAGGGTAAAATAGGAAAAGAACAAGTTAAAAATTACTTAGACAAATTAGATGTCTTCAAGTCACCAGGGCCTGATAAAATGCATCCTAGAATACTCAAGGAGATATCTAAGCCATTAGTGATGATCTTTGAAAAAGTCATGGAAGATGGGAGAGATTCCAGAAGACTGGAAAAGGGGAAATATAAATGCCAATTTATAAAAAATCAAATAAGGACAACCTGGGGAATTTACAGACCAGTCAGCTTAACTTCTGCACCCGGAAAGATAATGGAACAAATAATAAAGCAATCAATTAGCAAACATCTAGAAGATAATAAGGTGACAAGTAACAGTCAGCATGGATTTGTCAAGAACAAATCATGTCATACCAAACCGATAGCTTTCTTTGACAGGGTAACAAGCCTTGTGGATGGGGGGAAGCCGTAGACATGGTATATCTTGACTTTAGTAAAGCTTTTGGGGGGAAGGGAAAGCTCAGTGGTTTGAGCATTGGCCTGCTAAACCCAGGGCTGTGAGTTCAATCCTTGAGGGGGCCACTTAGGGATCTGGGGCAAAATCAGTACTTGGTCCTGCTAGTGAAGGCAGGGGGCTGGACACAATGACCTTTCAAGGTCCCTTCCAGTTCTAGGAGATAGGATATCTCCATTAATTTAATTTAATTTTTTTTTATTTAATTTTGACACTGTCTCACATGACCTTCTCATAAACAAACTAGGGAAATGCAACCTATGAGTAGCTACTAAAAGGTGGGTGCAAAACTCGTTGGAAAACCATTCCCAGAGAGTAGTTATCAGTGGTTCACAGTCACCCTGGAAGGGCATAATGAGTGGGGTCCCACAGGGATCAGTACTGGCTCTGGTTCTGTTCAATATCTTCATCAATGATTTAGATAATGGCATAGAGAGTACACTTATAAAGTTTGCGGACGATACCAAGCTGGGAGGGGTTGCAAGTGCTTTGGAGGATAGGATTATAATTCAAAATGATCTGGACAAACTGAAGAAATGGTCTGAAGTAAATAGGATGAAACTCTAGGACAAATGCAGAGTACTCCATTTAGGAAGGAACAAGCAGTTGCACACATACAAAATGGGAAATGACTGCCTAGGAAGGAATACTGCGGAAAACAAACTCGGTGTCATAGTGGACCACAAGCTAAATATGAGTCAACAATGTAGCACTGTTGCAAAAAAAAGCAAACATCATTCTGGGATGTATTAGTAGGAGTGTTGTAAGCAAGACACGAGAAGTAATTCTTCCACTCTACTCCACGCTGATTAGGCCTCAACTGGAGTATTGTGTCCAGTTCTGGGCACCACATTTCAGGAAAGATGTGGATAAATTGGAGAAAGTCCACAGAAGAGCAACAAAAACGATTAAAGTTCTAGAAAACATGACCTATGAGGGAAAATTGAAAAAACTGGGTTTGTTTAGTCTGGAAAAGAGAAGATTGAAAGGGGACATGATTACAGTTTTCAAGTACATAAAAGGTTGTTACAAGGAGGAGGGAGAAGAATTGTTGTTCTTAACCTCTGAAGATAGGACAAGAAGCAATGGGCTTAAATTGTAGCTAGGGAGGTTTAGGTTGGACATTAGGAAAAACTTCCTGTCAGGGTGATTAAGCACTGGAATAAATTGCCTAGGAAGGTTGTGGAATCTCCATTATTGGAGATTTTTAAGAGCAGGTTAGACAAACACCTGTCAGGGATGGTCTAGATAATACTTAGTCCTGCCATGAGTGCAGGGACTGGACTAGATGACATCTCGAGGTCCCTTCCAGTCCTATGATTAATTCAGTGTGTTATATATATGATCACAGAGTTGTCATTTTGTTTCTTGTTAAAATTTTTGAACTGCACAGTTAAGACAAAAAAACAACTGTAACTCTGCAATGTAATGACAACATGCAGGCAACTGTCCAAAAACTAATTTAATCTGATTTGGAACCATAAACATAATCACTTAATCATAATCATAGGTTACTGCATAGTATCTCTACAGGACAAAGCTAAGGTTATGCCTTGATGGTGCATTTCCACACCTTAACATATTCAGATTTCTTTTAAGCTTAAGGTTTACTCTGGATTTCCTTGGTTTGGGGATAATTGCAGTATCCCTATAACATATTTTGTCCAAAATTACTGATCGGTACTTAACCTTAAAAATTCATCTAAAACTAGTTTTTCTCTAGAAATGTATATGTGGGTAAAGACATAGGGTATTTCAGACAGCTGTGAGACTGTGTGTATTTATGTGGAGTTTTATTCTGTCCAAAGAAACAGGTTTATTAGTGCCAGGAGCACTGCCTCAATCTTATGACCCAATTTGAAGTCTTTATTATTATTGGAGGTGGTTAGTTACTCCTGGAGATTTGGTCACTAGCACCATCTCACTAACTTTACTCCAGAAGGGTAGAAAGGAAACAAGACAGTAATCACAGTGTATTACTAAGCAGAAGTGAAATAATAAATATATGCAAGATACAGTACCAGTAGCATTGACCATTATTCTCCAACAGCTTCTCCACCATGTGCTCTACTCTTACAAACCAGCTTGGTACAGCTTTGTAAATTAGAGGGGTATCTGACCTGTAAGAAAAGAGTGCACAAACAGGTTCAAACAGATATGTTTTACATATTTTGAATATCTTCTTACCTAGCAAACAATATATTGTTATGATGCCAACTTCCTCTCTCCAGAACCAAACACTTCAATGGTCAATATTTAGTTAATGTACTGACAGATGAATTTCTGCACAAAACACACACTTGTTAGGAATTATTGTACTTAGTCAATTTATTTTTGTAACAGTTCCATATTTTCAAAACCCACAACAAAATGTAGCAAGTTATTTTCGATCTTGAAAATAAACAAGAGAAACTGTACTTGTGGGGGATTCATTTTATATTCCTACACCTTATTTTACATCTGACTGATGTATATCAATGCTGATTTTAATGTAAAACAAGTCAAATTCTTAAGCCTTCCAACTGAGTTTATGTTGTAGCACTTCCCACCACATATAAAATCAACCTGAAATGTTATTACAGAAACAAGTTCATTTAGGAATGTTTCAACTAGCAGTGTAAAATACTACAAACAATTAGTAAAGAAAATTTTAAAAATTAACACTCGGATTCATAAAGTTTAAGGCCAGTCTGATGTTCTGTATATCACAAGCCATTACATTTCACACGGATACCCTTGTATTGAGCCCAGTAATTGTGTTTGAGTGAAGGATATCTTTCAGAAAGGGATCCAGTCTTGAAGACTTCAAAACGGCGAATCCACCACCTTTTAGTAGTTGGTTCCAATGGTTGATCACCTTTTAAAAATATATGCCTTGTTTCTGGTCTGAATTTGTCTGACTTCAGCTTCCAACTACTAGTTCATGTTATGTCTTTCTCCAGTAGATTTTAATACCTAGTATCTTTTGCAGGGCCGGATCTAGGATTTTTGCTGCCCCAAGCAAAAAAAATTTTGGCTGCCCCCTGTCCCAGCCCTGGGCTCCTCGCCGCACCCCCCTGCTGCCCCAACCCTGGGCTCTCCCCCACCACCCGCACCCCCCGCCCTGGGCTCTCCCCCCCTGCCCCCCACCCCCCTGCCGCCCCAGCTCTGGGCTCCCCCCCGCACCCTCCTGCCGCCCCAGCTCTGGGCTCCCCCCTACCCCCACACCATTGCCCCCCACACACACCTCCTGCCGCCCCAGCCCTGGGCTCTCCCCCCCCCCAGCCCTGCACCCTTCTTCCGCCGCAGCCCTGGGTCACTGGTAACTCGTTCCCAGGGCGGGTCATTCAGCAGGAATTTTGGATGTGCACAGAACACAGACAGGATTGGTTCCCATATGGTTACAGAACTGCAGTAAAGTGGAACAATTTCCAGCTTGTGTGACTGGAGGATATCTGGATGCATATTATAAGACTGTCCTACATAAATGAGGAAAAGTTGAGGTGCCTTTATTATTATTTTGTTCCACTTTTTCTTTCTATGGGGAATTTGCCAATGCAATATCACTGCCTTCCTTTTAAACAAACAAACAAACAAAAGGCAATGGCTGTTGAAAATAGAAATTCCAGTCCTAATAACCACTGGGAAGCATTTCTTGCTCAATTTTATCCTATTTTTTCTACAGCAAGTTACAGTGGATCAGTATATTTGATTTGGGAGAAATGAAGTAACAGCTGCCCAAACTGAGCTTGAGCACTCCTGAATTTTGAGGTGTTCAAATCTGGAAGGCAGGTGCTGGGAGGGGTGGGGGGGGCTGTGGCTCCGCAGGGGAGCACGGCAGCATGTATGCAGCATGGTCTGAGTGGCACGGTAAGGGGGCTGGGGGGTTGGAGAAGGGGTGGGGGTTCGGGGGGGGCAGTCAAGGGACAGGGAGAAGGGGGGGTTAGATGGGTCAGGGGTTCGGGGGGGGCAGTCAGGGGACAGGCAGCAGTTGGATAGGCATGGGAGTCCCAGGGGTTTGTCAGGGGACAGGTAGGGGGTGGGGTTCTAGGGGGGGAGTTGGGGGGGTCCCGGGAGGGGGCAATCAGGAGACAAGGACCAGTGGGGCTTAGATAGGGGGCGGGGTCCCGGGAGGGGGCAATCAGGGGACAAGGACCAGTAGGGCTTAGATGGGGGTGGGATCCTGGGGGGCAGGGATCCCGGGAGGGGATGATCAGGGGACAGGGAGCAGGGGGGTTGGATGGATTGGGGTTTCTGTGGGGGGCAGTCGGAGGGAGTGGATGGTGGCAGGGTGGGGCTATCCTCCCTCCCCATGGAGTGTCCTATTTTTTGAATGTTAAAATATGGTATACCTACCCTTCAGAGTGCAGCTCTCCATTCAAAGCAGGCTGCAGCATGAGGTCTCAGCTTCCTCACTCCCTCCCCCTCTTTCCTGTTGGTAGTGGCCAAGGGAATGCTGGGAAATGTAGTTCTTTCCCTGCTCCAGGGCTGGCTCTATACGCACGGAGCCAGCCCTGGAACTACAGCTCCCATGCTGGATCCCTGCCGCCCCTGCAAATGGGCTGCCCCAAGCACGTGCTTGCTTTTTTGGTGCCTAGAGCCGCCCCTGTCTTTTGCCAGGGAAGGAATTTCCAAACCATAATCAAGTAATTTCACATGCTTCTTTTTGATAAAGCATTTCATCTGTTTATGTTAAATTTCTCACTTTAGGGCATTTACTCTCTCCAGTCCTTGAATCATTTTTCTAGCTCTTTTCTGCACATCCTCTATAATTTTTAACTTTAAAATGTGAACACCAGAACTGTACTCAATATTCCAATATGTATATTGGTCTCAACGATGCCATACGTATATTCAGAGACTAAAATACCTCCCTATTCCTACTCTCTAAACCTTATTTCTACATAGTTCACACTATTAACTCAGACCCCAACTTTATTTAAAAAATTGTTTAAAATGTGTCTGTTTCATTAACAAAAACTCAGGTTTGGTTGTACAGGATCATATTTTAGTCCATTTGCAGTTTTAATGAACAATTGGGGTTCAATCATGCCTGAGCTAAAGATTTCTTATTTTAACAGTAGAACACTTATTCCAAGATTCTGGAACTGAAGGTTAGAGCCAAGATTTTCTGAAGAGACTAGTGCTAGTTCTGAAGAACCTGACTTTCAGAGAATAGGTGCTCAGCAGTCATAAAAAAGTCAGACCCTTTTAATGAGAACAGAAAAATTGAGGCATCCAAAAATCACCAGGGCACTTTAGAAAACCTTGGCCTAAAGCAATACAGGTTCAATATATAAACACTTCCCTATTAGGAGAACCTCAAAGAGTAAAAGGAGCAAAACATTTTCTAAATTTTGTCTATGTTCAATATATGATTCTTCACTTGATCTTCTACCTCTATCTTTATTCAGTGGGGATTTTCTTAAGAACTAGAATAGGGCTCTTTAATGTTTGTCCACAGCATGGACCACATTTTAATAGAAACTGTTTTAGGGATCACCCTCCCATTTATGGGCATTCAACATCTCTGGCATGCACAGGAATTATACACATGGAAAAGTGATATTAGAGAAGTAACTTGTTTTAACTATCTTAGTGCAATTTTGCATTACAAATGCTGCTTGATTGACAGGGAGCTCGGTAGAAGCTTGCTATCTAAATTAAGACACCTGTGGATGTATACTACCTTTTCTTTCCAGTAATTTCTGCAAGTGCCTGCATGTAAATTAGTAGATTTTCTTCACTGCTGTATTTAAAAATCTCATTTTTATTAAATGAAAATAAATTCCATAAGCGAAACAGTAAAGATAAGATTTCAATATAGGTTTTGATTCTCCTACACCCTCATAAATTAGAAGTGTATCCACTTATGCTGTTTGACCTAACAGAAAGCAGAACCAGATCCAAAAAAAGACCAGAAATATAAAGGTAAGATTCCCACTGGACAGTCTCTTCCACACACCAATCTCTGTCCTCTTCATATACAAGATCAAAAGATATTTCACTTAGCAGTCACTGGGTATTTTTTCCTCACTTATTTGACAAACGTGTTAAACCAGGATACAGGTACAGAGTAGGTCATATTAATTTTAGCTATTCACTTGTTACACCTTAAAGACATCCCGCTAAGATGCAAACAGCAGCGTATGTTTGCATGTAACTACAAACCAATTCCTCAGTATTTATTTTCTTCTACTGTATACAATACTGACCAGAAATAGGACACAAACCAGTTGTAGGACTATATGTACATTGTAGTCAATTATAACTCTGGATCTTCATTAGTGAAACTAAACAAAAGGCTCTCTATGAAGGGGTGCCAATTAGACAATATTTAAAATGGGTACCAATCACACACACATGATTTTCATAGACTTCGGATCTCACAAGCAAAACAATTTTGTCCAATTAAAAAAAAAAAAAAAAAAAACCAATGAATGGAATTTTTGCGTGAAGAATTATAGTCTTCAGTCACCTCTCAAAAGCTTATTGCTGCCACCTGCTCGATGCTCTTTCCAGGCAGGTTAATACTGAGCAGATTGTAATCTGGAGCTGGAGACTGCTTGATGGTGATGGCCAGGGACTTAGTTTTACCTGAATTAGTAACCAGATCAATACGTGTTGCTTCTTATCCAGTCAGATGACCATCAGCTGCAGTGATTCACCAGTCCAAACTAACAAGACAATGTCATCAGTGTATTTGTCCTCCAGGGATCGGTACTTTCACATCACGAGGGTGTTTACACTGAAGCTGACCACCTACAACAACCTGGTCAATCGTCTTTGTAGATGAAACAGCCAAGAGACTCTGTGCCACTGAAGCAAAAATAACCAGTGAAACCTTGCAAAAAGGCCATTCTGGTATCCTAAATGTTGGTGGCAATAGTGATCACTAATACTAAACTCTTATATAAAGCACTTTAGCAACAGATCCTCAAGTACTTTACAATGGTCTACCATTACCCCAATCTTAGAGGAGGAAACTGAGGCACAAAGGGAAAGTGACATGCCCAAGGTTACACAGCAGGTTTAGGCTAGAGTTTAGGCACAACATTATCTCTTCTTAAAAACACTGCTGTCTGCATAAATGAGCAAGGTCCCTATCCAGTCTGCTTCTGTACTTGGAGTGCACGTTTGA